GGGTGGAAGTAGAGAGGGGAAGAGGAGGAGACTGAGGAGACCTGGCAAGGGCCGAACCGAACCGCCAAGTTTCTTGCTACACCGGGATACAAGTTGGCAAGCTTGGGTGAGCGCAGGGTGCGGGGCGGGGACCGGGAGGACGAAGGCAGGACGGGGAGGTAAGCGGGCAGGACGGCACGGCAGGGCAGGGAGAAACACTCCGCCAAGGGCGAAGCAGGGAGGGACTCAGAGGAAGGACAAGCTTCTGTCCGAAATGATGTGGCAGGTTGGCGGGCCGGGCCGGCCAGGGCGGAGCTCTGGGCGTTTAGAACTGACGTGCTTCAGAATCATCCGCCCTCGAGGAGAGAGCCGCGACGCGCCGCGAGCAGCGTCAAGCAGGGCGTGGCGGGGCGGGGCGTGGCGCTGCACAAACGGGGGAAATTAATATTTGGGGCAAGAGTGGCGAGGCAGCCACAAAGCCAGGCGGGCGACATGGAAACGCACTGCTGTTGCCGCGCACTGCACACAGTGCAGCAAGGAGAAAGGGAGAGGAGGAAGGGGGGCAGGGGAGAGGGGAGACCACAGAGGAAAAATACATAAATACACAAGCGAGGAAAAAAAAAAAGACAGGAGCGAAGGAGGGAGGGCGGTGCGGGGAGAAAGTGAAAGGAAAGGTGTACAGTAAATGTGACCGGGAAAAAGGCAGCTGTAGAGATGGAGTGGGGGATAAGGAGCGAGAGAGCAGAGAGAGATAGAAAATAGCAAGGAAGCGGGGAAAAGTTGAGGCGCGAGCAGGGCGGCGTGCGTGCCACGGGCGTGCTCGAATGTATTGGGGGGAGAGGGAGGCGGGCTGGAGGGTCCCTCAGGGCACTATCCGGACAAACCACACAAAATGTTGAAAGGAGAGGCTCCCCACGACGACAAGGCCGGCGACAGTTATGAAGTGAGCGGCTACAGTGAGAGATAGGGGCCCCGCCCCGCCCCGCCCCGCCCGGGGCCCGCAGCGCGTGTTCGAGGGAGGAGCAGGGGTCAGGCGGGCCGGGCCTGGGCCGGGCGCGCGATGGGGATGGAAGGCGCGCTCGAGAAGACTAATAGAAAAGGGGGGGTGACGCCGCGCTGGGAGCGCCGGGACGGTAGGCCGCCCGCCAGGATGAGGAGGGAGGCCGCCTGAAGCCGGGCTGAAGCGAGGGTCACTGAAAGGGGTCATGAAAGACGCGGGGGTGGGCAGGCGGGGGAGAGAGACTTTTCTGTACACCCCCCTACCTCTCTCTCTCTCTTTCTCACGGCCCGTGTCAGCCCCGTCATCGTGACACACACACATACACACACTCGGCCGCGCGGCCGCAGGTCCAGGACCTCGTCAGCAGGCGCGCGTGGTGCAGTCCCAAAACAAGTTGAGCACGTCGTCGAGTTGTCGGGCCGGCAGCAACTTTGCAAAACTAGTGCGGTGCATTCTCGGGCCAGCGTGTCACTCGCACGCCCGCTCCGTGTCGGGGAGCGTAAACACTCATACAGCCCCCCCTCCTCTCTCTCTCTCTCTCTCTCTCTCTCTCTCTCTCTCTCTCTCTCTCTCTCTCTCAAAAAACAAACTGCCCCGGCCTCACCATACCCATGCAGCGGCTCGGTGCGTTTCCCCTACCCCACCCTCTGCACTCCCTCTCTACCGGGTGGAAAAATGCCCAGCATTTGCCATTGACGTATTCTAATCAATTTGGGAGCAACACTTTCCCACCCGGGCGGGCGAGGCGAGCGGCGGCGGCTGGGGTCCATCACCCCCTTCATGATGCAGGGAGAGGAGAGGTGGGGTCGTGAATGGAGAGTGTGAAGGAGAGAGAAGAAAAAGAGCACAACGCCTAGCATTTCGGAAGATGGGCCTGCCTAGACGAGTGAGCAGGGTAAAAAGCCTATAGCCCGAGAGTGCGCGGGGCTTAATCTGTACCTATAACTCGCGTGCAAAAAGCCTTGTTGGCACGATTCGAACTATGCGCGGCGCCACGGCCGGGCAGGCAGGTGAATGCGTCCTACTTTAGTCTGTAACGAGTTTGATGCGGGTGTGACGTGCGCAGGGCGGGGCAGGGCGGGGAAGGGAGGGGCAGGTTGGGGCGTTTGAATCGTCCTCGGCCCACCGCCGCGCGCCGCCTGCGCACTCTCTGTACATCCATCCCGCACAGCACACACTCCGCCCTTGGAAAAACATATGACGAGCTGAGCGGAACACGGCGGCGGCCCCAGTAGTACAGCATCGCCAATCCCGCCCCGCCCCGCCCCAAACCCAAACTCGTCCCGGGACCAGAGCCCGTCGATATATATTCCATTGCTTGCGTTTGTTTTCGCGAGGAAACAGCCCGCGGAGATGCTGTCCGCCCCCAACCCCACCCCACCCCTCGCCACAGCACCCACCGCACTACTCCAAGCCGCGCCATCCCGCGGGCGCCACGCCCCGCCACGCCCCGCTGCGGAAATGGATGGGGCGCCTTCCACATCCGCCACCTCGGCGTGTGCCCCGCCCCGCCCCACCCCACCACGCTTTCCAGGGAACAGGATTTATTCGTGAGCGCACCGTGTCTGGCTGAGAGGTGGATTCCGTCTCGAATCTTTCCCGTTCATTACATTGCACCTGGGGAGGGCTTGCGGGACACATGTTTTATTTTTCTGCGGCGGGGGGTAAATAAAAAATTGAGGCCGCTTACTCCTTATACTTTTCGAGAGAAAACTTCCTTTTTCAATAACCGCCCGGGACACTGTGAAAAATATCGTCGTAAATTTACAATTATTTTTGTAAACTCGAATTAAAATTCAAGTTGTGAATTTACGAGAGCACATCTTTTACTCGCCAATGCATTTTAAGTCGGTACACTGTAAAAAAAATCCATCTT